GAAGACTGCATACCTTCCCTTGTCTTTATTCCCTAAACAATGCAGTAGGACAACTACAGATAGTGTTAGTATTGTGTTAATATTAGAAGTGATCTAAATTGAAAAATCTACAAGATGAGATGTGTCATTTCTATGCCAATTGTGTGTCATTTTCAGGTAAAGGACTTGAGTATGCTTAGCTCTTGATACCTTCAGAAAATTCTGGAGCCAATTCCCTAAAGACAAAAAGGAGCAGCTGTATAATACTTGATGTATCTTTTTATGCTGTAAAATTATATTAAAATAACTTGCACTCTCTTGCTGTCCAGATTACTGTGTGAGGTGGCCTGCTTTTAGTCTCCTTCCCCACCCAACTGCTCTCATCAATGGTGTTGCCAGGATTGATATAGAAACTCACAGCCTCTCAGTGGATGTTTGCAGGAACTTCAGGGGACATGATGGTGTGTTTTCATGTGTGGCTTTTGTGACTTTTCTTTTGAAGAGCCAGCTTGTTTGCTTTTGTTGGTGATGATGGTTTTCTTTTTAACCTGTGGCTTTGTTTTGAGATTTTGTTGCTATTGTTTTATTTGCTTTTTTCCTCATTGTAGGTCATAGCAAGGTTCATGGATAAGTCACATTTGAATAAACAGAAGTAGCTGAATACTTTTCCGTGATCACATTTTCAGAACACAAATTCTTTCTTTTCTTTCCTTTTTCTTTTTGTTGCCAGTCCTGGGATTTGAACTCAGGCATTTAGCGCTGTCCCTGAGCTGTTTTTTGCTCAAGGCTAACTCTTTATCACTTGAGCCACAAATCGACTTCTGTCTGTGCTTGTACGTGTACATGTGCATGTGTGTGTGTGTGTGTGTGTGTGTGTGTGTGTGTGTTTAATTGGAGATAAGAGTCCCAAAGACTTTCCTACCTGCATTAGCTTTAACTACGATCCCCAGTTCTCAGCCTCCTGAGTAATTAGGCTGACAAACGTGAGCCACCAGCACTGGGCTATTCTATTTTTATATTAAAATATATATTTTTTTCTATTGTAGAAATAATGGGCTCAGGAAAAATGGAAGTTTATAAAACATGAGGGCCAAGGTCACTCTCAGATCCTAGTCTCCTTGTCTTGTCTCCTGGGGACAGATGACCTACGAAGGTATTTCACTGAGAAGCACCTATACTCCTTACTGAGTCACTTCATTCAGTCTCTAGCCAGCTCTGGATGTGGAAGTGAGCCCAGGGGCACTCAGAGAGGGCTCCGTATCTGTCTAATCCAGCCTGGTTTAAACCATTAAGCAGATAATGCACAGGCTTAGAGGCTGATAGTGGGCAAGGCAAAGCAGCTTACTTTCCATTTCTGAGCCCAGTGTCAGGTGAATCAAGGACAAATGACAACAGAGTCGAGTCATGGCAGATTATCTACTTTCATGCTTCTATACTTCCATATCTTTATTACACAAGAAGTGACATGTTAGAAGAGTAAAGGGACACTCTGGAAGCCTGATACAAAACTTTCCTTCTCTACTTGAGTTCTGACCTGAGAACCACCACTAAAGAGAAACCTGCACACCAGTATCATAGCGTCACCTCAACTGCCAATAAAGCTGTTAATGAAGTGTTTCTGCACAAAGAAGCTTTATTAGATAAACCCAATCCTGAGCATACTTTCCTCTAACGAAGAGCAGGAGGATGTGGGTATGAGCTATAAGGCAAGGACAGAGGGGATGGGGCCCTATTGGCTAGTTGCTCATTCCAAACCTTTCCTGGATATTTGATATGTCAGCATAGATTCTCTAGAAGAGGTTTAGGGACAGAAAGAGGCAGAAGGATTCAGCTTAACAGTACCCTCTGCACACACAAAGAAACATGAGGTTAGAGAGTAAATATTCCCAAGTATCAGGGATGTGTGTATGTGACATTGCTAATCGAATAATTATCTTGTCTAGGTATCAGGTTCTAGATATGTTGCTTCATTTAAGCTTCAAATATTTTACCCTACCTAGTCCATCCCTAGGCCCTCAGAGAACATTGTGTAGAGCTCATTATATTATTACAATTAAGCTGGGCACTGGTAGCTCAGGCCTGTAATCCTTCCTACACAGGAGACTGGGATCTGAGGATACTGGATCGAAGCCAGCCCAGGCAGAAAAGTCTGTGAGACTCTTAACTCCAATAAACGACTCAGAAAAAGTTGGAAGAGGTGCTGTGGTGACTCAAGTGGTAAAGAGCTAACCTTGAGGCCAAAGAGACTTAGGGACAGTGCCCAGGTCCTGAGTTCAAGTCCCAGGAACCGGAAAAAAAATTGTATTTATAAACTTGTCAACAAGAAAATGAGCATTAGACAAGTTACCAAACTTGTTCAAACTATAACTAAAAAAGCCGAGAATCAAATATAGACCCATCTAATATTAAAATACATATTTCTATATCCCATTATATCCTATATCTAACTTTATTCAGTTTTCTACATATATAGCCAATTCTGCCAGCATCATTTGTTGAAGAGGCTGTCTTTCTTCCATCTAATAATTTTGGTTTCCTTATTGAAGAGTAGGTAGTCATAGGTCTGTGGGATCATATCTGGTCTTCAGTTCTACTCCACTGCTCCTCAAGTCAGGCCTGTTCATGTGTCAGTACCAAGCTGTTTTTATAACTATCACTTAATAATAGAGGGTTTTAAACATAGTTGTGCTGGTAGCTTTAGTATGGTCTTGTTTGTGATCATTAAGGTAAATGCCCAAAAATGGGATTGCTGGGTTATAGGGAAGCTCTATGTGGAGCCTTTTGAGGACCCTCCATACTACTTTCCAAAGTGGTTGAACAAGTTTACACTCCCACCAACAATGAAGTAAGGTTCCCTTCTGTCCACATCCCCTCCAGCATCTGTTGTTATTAGAGTTCTTGATTATAGCCATTCTAACTGG